TCAGTATCCAGCACATCGACCGTCCCGGTTCATTGCCCGCGCCATTAGCGCTTCTGCTTTCTAGCAGAGGTGGGTAAATGACACCCGAAGCTTCACCAGATGACGGTCGTGTAGCGCCCAAGGTCTTTGACGCCAATCAATCCATGGCATAAGGTAATCCAACCATGCCATACCAATGCATACCTTGCATCCATATCTAACACTAGGCAGCGTTCCGCGCTATCAAAGTCAAGGAACTTGACACCGCTCGTTGCTAAGCGAACAGTGACGGTGTCACTCAACCGCCCTTTTAGCGCCTCAGCATACAGCTGACTCTTTCCATCGTGGAACGTCGAGCATAATTGCCCGACACCCCGGAATCGACAAGAATTTCCACGACTTCTCAGTCCTTCACGGTCGCTTTTATGACCAGCAAGCCCGGCTTGCATACAAGCTCCGTGGATCTCGTTGGGGCTGGGCCATGCTGACCTCTACCTCCTTGAGCTTTAACAGAACTCAGGTCTTCCCCAGTAGTGCGCCCCGCTCCTACTGGGTTTTGTCGTTTCTTCGCGACAAACCAGACTTATTAGAGGCGGGAAGTCGGTTCGATGGACCTTTACGCGCCTTGCGCAGAGGACAATCATTCTGAAGGTGACGGATGTCTCCACAGACAAAACACTGTCGAGTATTCGATTGCTGTTCGGCAGCTCGTAGCTCTCCATCCTCTTTCTTAAAATAGGGGATACATTGGCTCAGGCCCGTTCGACGTGTGCATTCCAACCAAGTCGTGCTGACTAAAAGTTGAACTCGGCTTTCAATGCCACATTCACCGCTTCTTCAAAAGAAGACAGGTAAACACGGAAGAGTTCCATTCTAGCCACGCCAGTGCAGAGGCGCTCCATAAAGACGGTCCCTGTGACCACCTCGGGGAGAAGATTGGCTGTCATTTTCAGCAATGCGAGCTCGCAACTTTTGGACAAAGTCTGCCAACTCCTTCTTGCTCTGTCGGGCGACAAGGAAACGCGATCGCACGCGATATGCCTGGTTAGGCGGCGAGAACACTCGCAAAAGCTGCAGTTTCAGCTCTTTCCAGGAGGGAACGCCGCTTCAATCGAAGTACCGCACGTAAGTGCCCATTTTCGCGCTCGGCCCCCGAGCTTGGACATAGATAGCGCCGCGCGCTGTTGCTCGTTCTGGAGCATGGCGGATGCCATAGCCATCTCAGCCTCTTTCACCCGGAGCATGAGATTTTTCTCCATCCTTACCCTCGAAGATTTTAACGCTCACCATGAGCGGCCTGGGTCGGGAGGAGTCATCTGTCGTCGGCGGTGGCGTCATGGATGCAGTCGACGCTGGCAGCTTCTGCTGTAGGTGCTCTAACAGAGCCTTATCATAGTTTGTAAAACGCCTCTGTGCGCTCGCTTGTTGCCGCAGGTCCTTGCGAAGCAAGGTGTTACACGCCCCCGGAGCCAAGCAGGGACATCAGCTTATTAAGCCCATCCTGCATATCTTGGGTAAAATAGGAGAATTGCTCCATCTTCACAGAGAATCAGTCGTAACGACTCAGGCGTAGATTGACCAACAACTGCTACCAAGTGCAGCGAGGCTGTCGTAGCTCTGTGCTTAGGGGAAGCTTACTAAGGTCACCGACCTTACGTTCTATACCAGAACCAGTACGAGTGTAGCAGATCGCAATCCGCTACTCCAAGAGTACCAAAACCTCAACCAAGGCGAAAACGCTCTTCTATCTAAGAATGAAACTGTATTTTATTGATTTATTCGCGGCAAATTCGTCTATATCTCAAACCTTAGGTTTTCTTTGATAGTAAAGCCTAATTAACATATACAACTACTGGCAGTCCAGCCACGTAGTGTCTTCTTAGTACGGTGTAGCCACATTATTGTGTGAATACACCGACTTGTGTAATCCATACCTTTGTACGGTTACATCATCTTGTGTGATTACACCGACTTGTGTAATCCATAACTTTGTACGGTTACACCATCTTGTGTGACCTACCCTTTCATACAAGGGTTCATGTAACACCATCTTGTGTGACCTACCCTTTCATACAAGGGTTCATGTAACTCTATTAGCGTAAAAATTCCGGATAAATGAAGAATGGGCAATGAAGTCCAACTTCTCGATAAACGAGGCCTCCCGGTAGCTGTCGGTAGTCATTTGTAGACTAAACGCATGCACTAAAAAGCTCTCAATCTGCTTACCGGTGTGCAATGTTAGTCGATCCAAATTTGTTAGAATGCTCACAACTGTCGTTCTTAGTGTAGCAATGTAAGTGAACCCCATTGTTGCTTTGAAGCTGGACACGAGAGTTGGAAAAAAACTCAAGTCGGAGACATGGGAAAGAATGGTGCATAAACAATTGTCGATAGATACGGATGCATACCTTTCCAGCCCTACATGTACCCAACAATTTAGACGACGTTCATCCTCAAATCCTTCTCAAAGTATATATAAACGACAATTTTATCTACAAACTTCAAAATATATTTTTCGAAAGAAAGTATTTTTGACTACAGTACCTAGCAGAATCTGCGTACATCTAACAAACATGGGTAATTCAGTTAGCTGGGTAGCACAATGTTTATACCCGAAAGATCAAGTGTTTTGGGCTGCAGTACATTACAATGACGTGGATGCTATCCGTTCGGCAACCTTGCGCCTTACGCCAGAGACTCGCAGATATTTAGAATGGCAAGAGCCCGAAACTGGTCGCACTGCACTACTGGAAGCTGCAGCGAAAGGCTATTGCGAATGCGCTCGAATGCTTATTAAAGCTGGAGCTAATTGCAATGTAAAAGATCTTAGAATGAATACGCCATTGCATTTTGCATGCAAACGAGCTCAGTCGGAATTGGTGCAGCTCCTATTGGAGGTCCCTACAATGATCCCATTTGAAGTCAATCTGTATATGAAAACTCCATTAGATATAGCACGAAAGCGCTTTTCAACCGAAGAGGTAGAGGATGAAGCTCAGGCGTATGCGAAATGCATTGATCTGCTTGAAAAGGTTCGGGACTTTTTTGTATTATAACCAGCGGTTGCAAGTGTGCTAAAAATTCAAAATGATGTAGTCATTTTATTTGTACAGTGGATGGCTATACGAAAAGACAGATAATGTCTTGTCATATATTTCAAGAGTCTCATCGCTTCATTCGTGGACACGACGTTGGTGTGTCGTATTAGAACGTGGAGACCCAGATGTGCTGGAGTTAGCTTTTTTTAACAAAGATTCTGACGGAGTGCGTTCTGTGTGCCCAACGTCAGTTATGCTATATAACGTTGCAGCTGGATCCGAAGTCACGAATGATTCAAGCTGGTTAAGTCGTAAAAAGTTTGCTTTCATTTTGCGCGGTGATCATTTGAGTCAAAGTCATTACAGAGGACCCACAGGTTTGCAGAAATGTATACACTTTGCTGCAATTGACGCGGTAAACTTAGATACATGGATGAATTTTTTTACGTTCCAGCAAGACCAATTATCGGGAAGTGAATTCTCTAATATCCATCCATATGGATGGAAACGATCATTATTTCATAGAAGCAGCAATGCTAATTGAAAACCCAATTTCAGTCCACAGTAAATTCTGCATCAGTCTCAATTGAGCTTACAAGCGAACGCTTTGAGGAAGACAATTAAGCTTCCTCTTCATACAGAAGTTCAAAACCAACGCTGCGTTTTATCCATATCGGCTCTAATGGGAAGAATGCATTCCAACTTTATAATATAATTCTGGTCTTTCAAATACCTATTTTTTTACACGGTTCAAATATGGGTGTTTTATAGCTACTAGTCTCAAATTAAAATATGAGTTGCCCTTTTTTCAAAATTTAACTTTTCTACAATCCGCAATGACGAGCAAGTTCAACCGCGGTGTGGCACGTTGCTTTGACTTCGTTCTCTACGTGTATAATTCGTGATTCTTACTAACTTACGACTTCTTAGATATTTCATGTTTCGCTACTGTATAATCTACTCCGAAAGCACGACAAGCGGCGTCCATGGTGGAGCCAAATTGAACCAAATTTACTACTTGGTGCACTTCCATTGCGAGATATGAAGCATATGGAGCAGGTATAAGTCATTCTTACCTCGTTTCTTACCTTTAGAGTGATAGTATCCTGTGTGTAGTTGATCCAGGGTGTGGGCGTGAAAGCTATTGTAACGATGAACCAGCCTATAGAGTTACTGCCAAACTTGATATCAACGCCTATTTCACCAAGTAAATGATGTAAATTGTTGTATTATGTCTTGATATACTGATAAGCAGCTTTTGTTAAACTCAGTCGAATGGGAGAATGCTCGGATTGCTCAGTGTTTTGGCTCAACAGAAGACTTTTCCTCACCGACACTAGAAACAATCGAAAAGTACGTACGAAAGCATTGATTTCATTAAGTATAACTTTGATGACATTATTGTGTACAGATGTACCATCTTTATTCATGAACATGTTGATATGAAGCAGCAAATAACGTACGTGCACTGCAAAGCTGGACGCGGTCGAAGCACCGTGGTGGTCGTAGCATTTCTTATGCAGTATCGCAATATGCACTTAGAAGAAGCATTAGAGTTTGTGAAAAGTAAACGGCCACATGTAAGTCTCCATCCAAAGCAGCTCGAAATTCTACAAGAATTCAGCAAGAAGTGTCCAGTGACAACTTTAGATCCTGCAGTCTGCGCACAATAAATACAAGCACATACATTGATACATCTTTGTCTTTATGTAGATACAATTCTATATCTTGTTAAACGATCACTTAAGTCGAAATGTGTAAACACCTTCATCACCAATGGGCTCGTTCCACTCAAAATCAAAACTTTGAGCAACATCTAAAACGTAGTCAATCGAGACATTGCGCTTTGTATATGCCAACAAGAATTCCGACGTGACTTTACTTTCTAAATTCTCACTACAACGCCCTCGTTTGAGCAAATAGTTTGCTGTCTTGAATAATGAAACGACATGTTCCTGTTCGTAGATAATATCGGCACCCACGACAATATCAAACTTGTCACTGATCTGTTCCAAGTCTACGTCCCACAATAATTTGCGGCATTGTACGCGATTTTCCACCCCATTGAGTTTACAATTAGCAAGAAGTAACTCAATGGTCTTGTCATCACCATCTGTGATTACTACCTTTTTATCCGTGAGATACGAGGCTAAGATACCGATTAGACCAAGACCACTGCCTAACTCGATGATTGACTTGCCGGCAAATTGGTCGCGATTTTGGTACATGTAGTCACTTAGAAAGTCTCCAGCTCGCCATAATGTGAGTCCTGTAGACTGCAGTGTTTGACCAATATCGCGACGTAGTCCATTCAGACGAATAATAATCTCGGCATCCTCTCGTGTTTTGCTCTTGCCAAACTTAAATTCGAACGAATCCTCTTTGGGCTCAATATCCAGCGCTTTTTGAATGTCTAAACGCACGTCTGATGACTCATTATCTACAGCAATGCCTTGCTCCAGGGCAAACTGCTGTAAAGCTATAAGAGCTGCATCGGACAGACTTAACTGCTCTTCGTCGCTTTCGTTGCCACTGTTCATTGACCAGCAAATTGTAACATCATTGTAATATAGAATTTATTGTATTAGGAGTACTTGAATATTCGCAATAACTTTAAGTTTTATTTCCAATTTCGCTGTAGCTTTCGCGATATTTTATGTATTTTATTAAAAATGGCCCGCTAATGTGAAAAAAATATTCTTACAACATGAAAGTTTACACAGAAGTTTTATGCTACCATGTCAGCATCTAGGTTGGATGTACGTCGGCCTATGTATTCGCCTAGAGCCATGTGTGGAGAATCTCAGATCGGTCTGAGCACTTCCATAAGCAAAACTACTACTTCATGAAGATTTATAAACGGAGGAGATATTGTTTTTTATTTATACTCCAGTGTAGCTCTAGAACCTTTTATTCCAATATCATGACAAAAAAAACTTGACGAACTCTTTTCTAATCTTCTAAATCTCTTACTCCCACGATGCAAACAGGCAGCCGGACCGTGAACCACAAGCAGATAACCATATGAAACAAAAAAATTAGCCGACGTCAGGTTCAGCTTTATTACTTTACATACCGAGCAAGACATGCAAGACATGCAAGAAAATGATATTCGGACGACCAGAAGTCAGCTACCGGGAATCAGATACTATCGTGAACCAGTCTCGCAGGATATTCGGATAGTGAGCCCTCGTTACGTTAAAGCGATTGTTAAGTTCTTCAATCCATCGAACAATTGCCATCACGTATCTGGTCGACACACCTTAGTTGTTTCATAACCAGAATTAAACCACGTATTCTTTTCATAAACGGGTCCATTCTCCTCATTTCATCTTTCACAAGATAATGAATGACTCTATCATGTTTGAAGAGCTGCATCTCGCTTATTGTTTGCTGGCATCACAAGAAGTGAAAGAATGAAAGAAAACAACTAAGAGTCACAAAGTCAATAAGTCGCTGCATCATTTTTCATATAGGAAGTTCGTCGTTGGGGTCAGATGGAAGTGGAACGAACTTTCGATTTACAGATAAATTGACGTCACCTAACCAAGGGTACCGTCGGTCTTGATGGTTATATCATAGCAAAGTAGGGAATTCAATGCATCGTCGTTTTGACGTTATCTGGAATGAATTTTGGTGATGGGCGCTGTGCAGATAATTGAGCTTGACGTCATTATTATAGTATATTGAATCATTCAATGCCGGCAATTATCAATGTTGATGGACTCCATGATACACCTCAGGTCAATGTGAATAACAATCGGAAATTTTCGGCCAGAAATGGACCATAGAATAACGAGCCTGTAGATGATCTATTGACGATTATCGATCGACCAAGTATAATCTAGGCTGCCGAAGAGTCTCAAAAGTCATGACTCGATAGCAACCACCATGAACATATGCTCTTATCCTTCCTGCCTCGATACTTAGTTCAGTAAAAGATCAGACGAATCCTGACGGGTTTGTCGTGCTTAAACAGACGTGGGTTTATGTAATCTCTATTCCGAGAATGATTAGGTCGCATGTCTATTAGTGGATTATCATGGACCATGCCAACGATATCGCGTTGTCGTGTATAATTATTCGACGTGACCGAGCATAATGGCCCATACTCATACTGAGTCAGGATCTCTCTGGACTTCCGTCTCAGCAATGTCGATAAAAAGATATATGATGAAAACTGGAATTGATTTACGACTTTAAGGAGAATTCAACCTTATATATAAAATGGTAAGAAACTTGATTGTCAAGCAAGCAAAGTGTCAAGTCGAATCCAAATCGGTGCCAATGAGATTATCGTGATAAAATCCCATTCTTACCGTCGACATTTACTCAAGTTCGACCGTCGGATACCACTCTTTGATCTTACTTACAAGCTCATCAAAGCTATCTTCCACCACATTGTTGACGAGAATGGCATCAAATGCTCCTGGCTGCAGACTAAATTCCATTTCACCCGCAGCATTATTAAGGCGCAAGTCAATCTTTTCCTCCGTCTCTGTACCACGTCCACGCAAACGTTGCTCAAGCTCTTCAATGGATGGCGGAGCGATGAAAAGATACTTAGCTTCAATGCCAGATTTTTTCACCTGCTGCACACCCTGAATATCTATATCCAAGATACAAATCTTACTTTTCTCTTGTACTTCTTGCACAGCCCACTTACTAGTACCGTACAAATTTCCATGCACTTCTGCATGCTCCAAAAATTGACCATCTTTGATCTCTTGAAGCATCTTGTCCCTAGATGTGAAGTGGTAAGCCACACCATTTACCTCGCCCTCACGTGGGTCGCGGGTCGTGTGGCTCACTGAAAAGCCAAACGCATCTGGAAATTTTTCCAGTAGCATATTAATAAGCGTTCCTTTGCCTACACCTGAAGGACCTGCGATGACAATTGGTTGTAACTCTATAGTTGAAGGCTGAAAAGCTGAAAAATGCTCGATCGCAAAGGCCAAAACATCTTGTGGCTTCTCGAGCAAGAGCGCCGACATAAAGTTGCTTAATAGTGTCTTTATCTCTGGATGGGCACCAACATAAGCTGCGTGATCCTTTTTTAACGTTTCTTTGCGTTCATTCAGAAGTGAAAGTTCCTCTAACGAAAGCGACTCAAGCGCCTTGGTTGTCTCTTGCTCCACCGAATTCATGATCGTAACTAATTATGTGGACCACAATGAATACTTTTCAGAATGATTAACTTAACAATGTATGTATAAGTCAGTCTTCAACATATAAACCAATCTACTATACCAACTACTGCAGCACACTTGCGTTAGCTGATAAAGTCACTTCTTCGCCTTGTTCAGAAGCATCGTGTTGATGAGATTCTTGAACCACTGTAGGATATGTTGGCATAGCAGAAGACGCAGTTGCGTCAGCGAGTTTCGGATTAAAAATTTTAAATTGCGGTGGTCCTTTAGCTGCATTGCCAGGATTGACAGATGCAGTGAACCCTCCGACTGTCGGCGTCCGCGAAGTGTTTGCGTAAGCAGAAGCATACGGATTAGTAGTAGGTGCAGCATTATAAAGATTGTTTCCTGCTACACCACTGTCAGCAGAAATGGGTACCGGTGGTATTATTGTGGAAGGAGGTGGTGCTGTGACCTTGATCTCACGCTTATTGCCAAATTTGGCAGTCAACTCTTCATTGCCAACACTTGAGCCAAACCCATCAGCTTGAATAGGGCGATAGTCTTTAGGACGAGCAAATCGCGGTTGTCCACTTCGCGGAATCGCACTATGCGTAGCAGCAGCGTATAAATTCGTCTGTGGCGCTTGTTGCTGAGGCATACCAAGTGGAGGGCCTTGAATTGCAGAAAAATCGCTGCTCATTGGGGGAGGCGCAATGATCGGTCGAGGCGCCATAGGGTCTACAGACGGAGTGATTCCTGGCGGTAGCATTGTTGCTGCTTCATTCGGATCTTCATGTCGAAATTGCAAGGGGAGTAAATACTGGCGAATATTGTCTCCCTTTGCTACATCGTACGGGGTACGGTTACTGCGATTGCGCAATGCAGGGTTGGCGCCATGATTCACCAAAAACTTGACTGCATCGTAATGACTCTGTGCAGCCGCATAGTGTAGTGGGGCGTTCTGACGGGGGCACATGGCGTTCACATCGACATTATAAGTAATTAAAATCTCTAAAAAGTCGACGCGACCATGATATGCTGCTGTATGAATGGGCAGATTCCCAGCGTCGTTCTTGGCATTAGGATCGACTTTTTGCTCGTCCAGCATACACACAAACTTTTCACGAAGACCCTGCTCAATAGCGACATGCAACTCCTGTTCAGGCGTCAGTGTGGGTGCTAGCAACTCACCCAAGCTCTTAACGTTGAGTTTTTCTGCAAAATAACCAAACATGCTTCAATTTAAACGAATTCTACTCGTTAGGGAGCAACACACGATGAAATGATTAGAGGAGGAACTGCCTGCCTGCCACCTAATGAGGATAGAAACGTCTTGAGCTAAACTGGCCCACTATCAGTTCATAATATACTATGATAATGTGGTGCACCCTAAATATCGAATCTGAAAAGGTGATTGCGGTCGGTAAACACTAAAGAATCCAGCAAGAAGTGATCATCTCGCATAACTTCATTCTCGATTAATCACAACATCAACAAGAACAAGTAAGAAATGATTCCAGCGTCAGTAACTTCTGCGCAGCCACTGCCGCAAACGGCCGTTGATATTCCTCAGCGCACGTATCTGCCACTTAAAGACCCAAAGACGGGTATAGACACGACGAACGCTGAGTGTGCACGTTGCCGTAAAGGACTTTATGAAAGAGACATTGTCAAGCAGCTACAGTGTGGCCATCTCTTTCACGGACATTGTATCGACAATCACCTACAGACGGATATTTACTGCCCAGTTTGCCGCATCCAGGTATTATTTCCAGCTGCTATGGCAGCCTCAGTCGCATACAACGGCCGAACAGCAGGATCTATTTACCCTTCGGCTCAACTACCTCCGCGTGCGGTGCCTGTCGCGACTGCATTCGTACCCACTGATGGGACGGACTCGCGTAATTATGCACCATGTCGAGAATGCGGACAAATGTTTTACCGTGATCCGTCTAAGGTGCGCCCTGAGACGAACGGTTGGTACCGTTGCGAGCGCTGCGCACCGACTGACATTGTTGACTTTATTCGTGGTAGCTGCATCGTACAATAATGTGGTCAACCCAAGTCCTACTACGCCTTAATACATCAGTTTGTCGTTTTGTAACCTAAACCAGTTGCAGTTTTCGAATAAACCGGTATCTCATTTAGCATAACCAATAAATAAGAATTCAGTATCAATCACATTTTCAGATATGACATCAGTGAAGACCAAGAAAAAGAGAATAGATTCGAAAGGATCAGTCATGACGTCTAAAGCTTTTTTTAAAAAGGGTGACTGGTTGGGTACGTGTCTCTTCTTTTCCCTTATAGCATTTGGTTAATGATCAGCTGGTTCTTGTATTGCAGACGTAATGGATGGCGATGGTGTATGGAATGTAGCTCGCGTTCTGAGTATTCCGTCACCTGACGAGGTATCTTAGAATACATACTTGATTATAACGTAACAGTCTGATAGTCAATGAGTTACTACAGGTAGAAATTACATACGATGGTTGGTCGAAGGAATACGACGAGATCGTACGAGTAAATAGCAACCGTGTAGCTCCGTATCATACGTTTACGTGGACAGTCAAATGCTGGGTTAAATATCTGAATTGGCCTCTTTGGCCTTCACTAGTATGTTTCTTTTTCATTTTCTTGCGTTAAAGTAAAATACTGATCATTCTTGGCGGCAGATTACGATTCGAACACCAGGGACACCTGCAGGAATTCGAAATCTTGGCGCTGAAAATCGACTCTTCGTCGACTTTTTAGACAGTCCAACTTTTGCTGAACGTGAAAGGTCTTGTCAGCATATTGGGTTCAAATGAATGTAAGCCGTGATGCGTGACCAAGTTTTGTGGTAATGTCATGTCGATAGGTGCTGGCAAAAAAGGGATCAAGTTGAAAGTTTTGACGACAAATTTGATAGGAAACGATTGGATTCAACAGGTCAGGAATTTGAACGAGCACTCTGGTTGATACTGCAATCTGATGCATCGATAAAGATGCCCAGATTTGCTGTGGGGACGCTTCCATTTCAATATCAGCATCGACCAGCTGAATCGGTAGCAGCACTTCGAAAAAAAATGGGAGATGAGCATTGGTTTCAACGCTTTACTATCAATCGTAGTCTTCATAAACAGCGTCACGTCTACGAAGTGCTTGGTGATGAATTTCACGACAAGATTAATGATAAGATATGCTCTTCAACGCTTAAAGAGATAAATCTGTCAGGTTTGGACCAAAAGCCACCATCGCAATCAAAACAGAAAAAAAAAACTTCTAGCACTGCAGAGCCAAGTAAGATCAAAATCCCTCCCGAGGTTGAACAAATGGACAAAAAGAATGATCACGAATTGGCAGATCGGAAGGAAGCCAGGCAGAAAAAGAAGCTGTTGCGGATTAAGCGTCAAACAGAGGATGTACCAATGGCGAAAGAAACGAGTTCGAAGAAAATCAAAGAAAAATTAAAGCTCAACAACCAAAGTGGAAAATTGGACAAGATTTCAAATGGTATTTTACGTTTATCAAAGACAAGATACGGACGAATTAACTGACAACATATTGATGGTGCTGTGCATGCAACAAGATTGTGCAGGGAAAAAGAAGATAGCGAACAGGCGGAGTATTTCACGTCCTCAGATCCTTCTTTTAACCAATATTGATGATCCGATTCAATCGATACCATCAGATATAATTTCTGATGACAAGGACGAAACTGTGAATCGAAATCAAACAAAAAGACGCTCAGCGCTGCGCTCTGGGCAATCAATCGGATGTGATAGGGAGGCTAACACTGTCGTTGAGTCATTAATGATTTCTTCAAAACAAGCAGTTAAGCGACAATTCTCGGATGCCGAGGGTAAATGTCACGAAGTGGTCAAAAAGAAGAAAAACGTCACACATCAGGTTGTGGCAATGAAACAGCTTCAAAATAACAGAGTCAGTCTGTCCAAACGGAATCGTAAGTCTTACATGATTTGCAAAGTCAAATGTAACAGCTATTCACTGTCTATCTAAGTAGCGGACAAGATATCAATGTCGATAAGCTCGCATCAATCGATAAATCATAATGCAGAAGAGAACTACTCATCGAATCCAGCAAAAGCAATTGCTTCTTATCAAGGTACATTGAGCGTTTGATTGTGGAATGGTTGACGACTCAAAAAATTTTGTAAATATTAATTTTTAAGGAAAAACGAAAGAAACGAAATCAAAGATTCGGCAGCGCTCGACGAAGTTGGGCTCCAAATTACAGATGGACGAAAACAAAAGCTCAAACAAAAGCAAACCTATCGTCATGACCAATAGAATTCATGGCCAGGACAGCTGTGAATACAATTTGAGTGCTGATGTGGCAGAGAAATCAGCGGTTGACCATCTGAAAAAGTCCGAAGCTCAACATGCTGGAAATGAAGAATCACAACCTCATAAATCTTGTGTCATGCAAGCAGACAAAGCAGGTATAGTTTCTTGAATCAACTGAGAGGTGCGAAGTCTCACTTACCCGCTATATGGCTTCTCAGATACGTTTGGAGTAGACGAAAGAGACAAACCAAGATTTTCTGTCAGAACTGCTATAAGTGTGCCAAAGAAGTTTTGTGTCGGGGCAACACGATCGACATCTGCTTGTCACATCAACAACCCAGCGCTTCGTCTTGCGCCGACACCTCGTCTTCACCTGTCGACGTCGCATGCTCAGACTTGCTCTACCTTAACTAATCCATCAACAGCTGTCTTTAGCTCAAGTAAAGGATTCTCAATAGATTCGTGGTTCAAGCGTAAGTTAATGGCAGATGCACAATAAAGCAGTCATCTCTCATCTTCAATGTCCAGAACCATTTTCTTTGCCTCTTAATATTTAAAGTAAGCCTCGATAACTCTCAAAACAAGAAGCTGCGATAATCGATTGGGATATCATCAGGCCGCAAATGGTTTACATGTACACTCGAACGAGCAGGTAAGTATATTTGTAAATAAAACAACTACATGCTATCAATTACTGTGATAATATAAAAGTATTTCTAAGTAACGAATAACATTATCTTGTAATTCCTCTTTTGACCCAATTGAACACGTTTATTTTCTATGATTGACCTACTATCGCTCTATAGATATCAAAATTTACTTTAGAGCAATTATTCAGGTACTAAATCATGGAATACCTCAAACTATCCCTATCACTTCCTTTGCAATTTGTTTTCAAAGCCTTTCGTAATCCATCCTAAAATGCTCCATGGTTTGTTCTCCACTTCAAAGCGAGATCCACCCGACCAGTATCGATAGAAATCAACATCTTTTTCGTCTACAATTACCTTAGACGTGTTGAGAAGTTGTGTATTCTTGATACGCTCCAACAACTTGACAGGAGGGACTTTGCGTCGAGATTTACAGTCAGAACGATTACATTCGTCGTTGTACTGCTCCGTCACATCAGTTTTGAGCAAAGGCACAGGTACTGGGATCGCCTCCGATTTAACAAGACATTCCGTGTTGCTATCCTGAGCAATGTGAGAAGATCTGGAACTCGAGGGGGAAAGAGAAGAAGAAAGCATGGAAGAGCTTGCATCGGTTAATACCTCAATTACTGATTACAAAACGAGCCATACCACACATCCACAGTCATTACTATGCACGCATGGAAGGCAGAAAGCTACGCACGAAGGTACGAAATATACGCACCCAGCCATCCGTACTACTATCTGCCTGTTTAGACGAAACAAAATGAACGTCAAATTAACCTTTTACGCGTCGAGGTCGAGTGTTGCGAACAGACACGGCTACAGGAGCTGCATCTCGCTTGGCGCTGCGAGTTGTCCGTCGTTCCGGAGCTACAACTTTGTCCTCGTTATCGCCGCTTTCCTTCTCTGGTGTAACTTCTTTCTTCTCTGGTGTAACTTCTTTCTTCTCTGGTTTAACTTCTTTCTTGTCTGGTGTAACTTCCTTCTCTTTGTTTTCATCTGAATATAACAACCACATCAATTCCTGTCAACTAAACACTTGTCACGTTGTTCGTCACGTACTTTCCAATTGCACGGTTTTCGCGACTTTTTTAGGGCGACCACGTGCTTTCTTTCCTGACTGGTAGTCAGGAGACGGAGACGTATGCGATGGGGCCATTGAATATCCATAAAGATCCTGATAGCGGTTGCTAAAATCTTTATAAAGATGAAACCACTGCTCTGCCGTGCATTCTTTCTTTTTTTCTTCTAAAGATTCTGCCATCTTGCTTGAATATTCAATCGGAAGCGTCCCAGGACCTGAGAAGAGCAATGGCGATGTGCCAGCTTTAGCACGCTGTGTGCCCTCAACAAATTTAGCAAAGCTCTTGCTAATATTTCGAGACGCACGCTCGTCAAAATTATCACGAAATGCCACCACGTTCTTCTTTTGCATCCAGCACCGCGAGCGTTTGTCTTCGTTAAACGAGTCGTAGAATTCAACGTATAGCTTTGTCTCTTCTTCAAGCCCATGAGCCGCTTGCGCTGAAGTGGGTGCACGTAAAACCACCTTTTTAAGTGGTAAGAAGAACTTAGAAGAAGTTATCAAAAACATGACAAGAGTTCAATTAACGTACAAATGCTGGCCACCAGGGCCATTTCGTGAGCTTTGCCCAACACTTTTTCACGATCGTATACGTATGAAGTGGAGCTAAACGCTGTGTCGCAATGCCAATCCATTGATTGTATTCATCGCCCCATCCATCATACTTAATCTCCACCTTGTCTTCATCTTCATCCGCTTCTTTCCCTACATCTACAATCATTCCCGTATTCCAAATGCCCTCGTCGTCAAGTACATCTAATTAATATATTGATCATCAAGGTCAACAGAAATATCAATTGAGTGTCAAGAAACGAATACGCACCAACGCGCAGTCCAATATCAAGTGGCATTTCCTTCACCATTTTTCAAGCTCTCGTCTCTTTGATTTTCCCCCGTGAATACTAAATATGCCCTTAATTACTAGAATAGAAGAAATATTGTGGATGAGAGCGCACCGTATACAAGATCGCAGATCCAGAAGCTCAAAGATAACTAAAGTTTTGCTTAAAAGTACTATATTTTTATGCTGTGATTTTCCGACTTCCTTCTGATCCCGTGTCTTAAACATAACTACACTTTGCGACGTTGTCTCAAAATGGAAACACTCATGCATTGCCACGAAGTATCCTCGAGCATGCGTCCTTTCAGCGTCGATATAGTGGTCACGAACTCCTTCACTTGTCGAGCGTTGTAGACGATCAGCTCAAATTGGATAGCGGATTGACGCGTTTCTACTCATTGCGTATGCCATCATACTATCTACATCATCTCAAAGAGAGTCAATGTCGCCCCTCATAGACGATCTAAATGTGTTAGGTGAATGGTCACCAACAATGCACTTATGAAGGCAAAAAACAGCGGTGGGAAATAGTCTGTCGATATTGACCTTCCCTGATATAATGCTTCGATGATAGTGAATGCGAGCTCGTTGGAAACCTTTTCGTATTACTGATAGTGCTAGTTTTCGTGGAAGACAAGTGCTTATCTGGCAAACGGAAAACGATACTAAAAACATACAACTTTGAGCTACTTAGTATTGTGACGTTTGCGTCTTCACTTCTTATCAATGAAAATTGATAGGTGGCACTGCAAAGGACAGAAATTATCGGATTGCTAGCTAGCTGAGTGAGTATAACCAGCTTATTGTCTTTTACAGAATGGTCAGTAAACCAGCTGATAACTCCAATTACATATTTGGTCAAATTTGTGGAGCTTCATGACCGATAACGACCAATTTATTTGGGACATATAAGGAATACCAAAAAAATGCACAATTTTTACAACAGTCAAAGTCTTGTATTTAATGTAAAAAATCATAAACGATTTATGATTGTGCTTAGCTGGCTTGCGAAGAAGTGAACTACCAGCGCTCTGCTGATTTAACATATCACTCAGTTTTTTGTATGTACCTTGGGCTCGAACTTTGGAAACCTGGGAGGATTGTAAGATTCCCTAACAAACTCTTTGCCAAAGTTTTGCAGCTTAGTGAAAGACCACTTCGCGAATCCTTTGGAGTTATCCTCTGGGCTAGATAATTTCTGCAATCCCTTTCCAATATTACCTTGCATTCGTTCCTCATGAGTGTCGTGACCTTCATTTATGGCCATATTGCTATGCCCTCGCAGGTTCCTACTGAATTGAGCAAATTTAGCGACGTGCACGAGTTCGGAAAACTGATTTTCATCGTTGAAAGCCGGGGCTGCCAATGAAGATACCAGAGCTGACGTTTGCTAGCAAAGCACATCCCGACAGCAGTATGAAGAAGCGCGCGAAAGGTGAAAAGCAGAAAATTTCGGCCATAAGGATTACGCTTCAGCTCAAATTTGACAATGACACTTTGAATGAAGTGCCTTGTTCGAATGGATGCAGTGTCTGGCTTACTCTTTATAGTTCTAGTTGACCACACGGTATGAGATATAGAGAAACATTCTTCTCATCTTCTCATGTAATCATGCTCCACATGTCTGATGTGCTGAGTCTGTCAAATTATCAATGCCGTACTCGTCGCCTAGAAATGTTTACAAAAAAGTACTTTTTACTCTAGAACAAACGTCGACTCATGCTGAAGCGAAAAGATTCAAACAAATACTGGGACACAACTCTGATTCCGAACCTGGCTCTTAAGTGTGTAAGGCAATTACTTATTATCTTAATTTCCTTAAAGTGATTTGCGATGAATTGTGCCATCTATAGAGATGAACAGCTGGTGTTTATATATCCTTCGTCATAAACATCGGTATTTTGTCACCTTAGCAATGCTTACAAAAACGTACTTTTTTTCTTTAGAACAAAATTTCGTTTCATGCTGTAGCGAACAGATTCAAACAAATGTTTTGCTAGCACCGGGACACAACTATGAGCCCGGATTCTTGATTTGCGATGAACTGTGTCATCTCTAGAACACAGATCTTATTACTTATCTAAACAGAGATAAAAAGCGACATACAGTCGCTATATTACATCTAAAGAGAGACAAACTTGAGCTACCTTGAATTGCGGTGGCTCTTTCTTAATTCGCCTGAACTATCCTTCGCGAACCAATTCCGTTTCAGCAAAAAACTACTGATCATAGATATAAGTCGTACTTTTATATTATATTCCAGCTGAGATGCACTCAACCCGTTCTTTTTTAGCCGTGCGATAAGTTCCATATATCATCACTCTGATATTTACTGAAGTGAGGTAAAGTTTCTAAATCCTTCAAACAATACATAAATATATACTTGAATATTTTGTAAGGAGTTACCAGCTCTCGTAAGCTATTATAGTTTGTGCATCTGATGCAGCTTTGAGATTTTTGTTTTCTCCGAGCCGCGCAGATTGGGCCATTTGGCTGGGGGTCAAGCTGTTAAGAACTTGATTGCTGAACTATTAGAAAAAAAACAGTTACAGGGAATGATTGAGGCATGACTTCGTCATTGATTAATCACTTCACGTCCCATCGGCTCTTAAAAGAATACTCGAAATACGGCTTCAACAAACCCGCAGAAACTCCATGTGCTCGTATTCTCTTTGGATTATTTAGAGGATGGCTATTTTTATATCATTGTGCGCGACGACGTCAGGATATACAGAAAGTATATTAGTGCCAGAGGCGAGGAGAGACATACATTTTGTTGTGAGCTTACGTTGCGAATATAGCAGTAAGACAAAGTTGTCCTCCGCTACGTTGAGACTTTTACGATCGTAATTTAGCGTATGAGCTTGTATCTTGGAGGTGATATCATCGATTTAAACGCAAAATAAAAAAATGTAACTGGCTGGTATCAACTTGCCGATCACCCACTCACCAGGACCGGAGCCACTTTGTGGTGGTGTCAAGAAGGCATGGAGGCAATCTAATCATTTATCAGATTAGTAACCCTGTAACTACCTTTTCTAGATAATCTGACCCACAATGAATGAGTGTGAGCATGCTGTTATAGAAGCACAGTCGCTTAGCATTAGTGCTTCGGAGTATATTTCCTCCAACCGCAATCAGCGTGATCCATCTTGCCCACAGTCTGATGATGGTCTGCTGTTGGTATGTTCAACCTACTTTGATCAACGTCCGCCAAGTTTTGCTGTGAAGTGTGAATATGAAGCCGAACCAATAATTATGGAACAGCTTGGCTGCACCGTCACCGGTAAAGGTGTCGCTGACAGTAGCAAAATGAATATTTTGCTAGCATAATTTACACAGACTAAAACCCTTCATGACCAAACGCGCTCTCAAAGAGATCCAACATATATTGCATGCTCAAAGACTGTCAGCACTCTGCCAGAACCAGGTGTGATTATTGGTGCCAGCGCATGCGGCAACATTGTTTCTGCGCATAAACACACGAGAGTCTACCGCATGGTGTACACAGCGCCTAGGCCTGATGTCTGTTACTATCGAGATTATCTTGTGGACAGGTACCGAGTAATCCTGAACCCGAGAACATACACACCATTATTACCACTATACGATCCGAATCAAGTGGGTCCGTGGTATAATATAACAAAGCTCGAGATTAAAAATACTTGTGTAAATGTGCTTTCAAATGTCTGACAGCGCAAATTTTGAGTCCAATAAGCCCAGATTCTTAAGCTTTTGAACACTACAGTACATGTAGTGCATGTCCAAAAGGGCGCTGTTCACAAACAGTCCCTTCAACACAACACACACGCTTGTACGGCGAGGTAGTGTTTCCCGATGTGGAGGGAGATAAACGGCCCCGATTTGAAGGGAAGAAGAACGACTTTATACCTTAAAAGTTAATTTGCAACTGAATTAAAATGCGTTATGGTTCTTAGCTATGCAAAACACCCCAAAGGCTTCTAGAGATTTTATTAATAAAACCTTGAATTCCGATCTATAAAGTTAGGATGTACTGAGGTTGATCATCGGCCTCAATTGAAACTAGAATTTGGGTGTACGGAGCTGGAACTTCAAAACGTTTGAGCTTCACTTTTTGTGGAAATTATCAATGAGAAGAGACTGCCATACGCCACCCCTAAAAACACGTACACATTGGTCTCATCACCAGTACAAATCCCCAAGTAGGAGCCAGCATTCTGTATCGCACAGAATGGGTGTGATTTCATATCAGATGTCACGTACGCGTTTAGATACACGATACTGTAATATTTTTAAATTGCCAATTCCCACAATGCAAACAGAAGGTACATAGAGTACCTTCATGAAATGGCTAAACTCAGGTAAGGAAAGGTAAAATGTAAATTAAAAAAACGATCTGATGTTGGATTATCAACAGCAAATATTCCCTATAACCAATCAACAATATCTTTTCCTCTCTTTTCGATACTTTTGCAGACATTTTGGGCAGCTCACTTTCCGATCATCAACCAAGCGATCAGGCGAACAAGCCAGTATGAAAGGGCGCTCTTCGTCTAAACGGCATAGAATGTTCCTGTAATCTTCGACGTTTCCTTCATTTTAAACTGAAATGGAGACAGGGGTTTCTACATGGAGCGTTCTTTTGTTGGCGTCGGATCAACAATTGTGATGGTCCGACCCAGCCCATTACAGCTAGCTTGACTTTTGTCGGACATTTGTTTGCGTTGAATACGAGAACATATTCCTCGTAAACGAAAATCGGCGAAACCACCCAACGATATCCTCCACGAGAGTCTGAAAGCGGAGGTGGGGTTAAATGCGAGAACTACTGAGCGACTCTAAGAGTGGAAGAGCGCTAACTGTAGAAAATTGAGGTATTGCAGCAGCGTTGCTCGACGCTTAACTATTGCTGCGAGAGCATTCCAAAATTTGTTGCAGAGCAGAACTCGAAACTTGATGTTCTGACTGATGGCTCCGCGTAATGATCGGCTTTGGAGTCCCATTCTGAGCTACGGTTTTATCAGGTCCATGATGAACGTGCTCGACTCCGGAAGGGCGAGAAGTCTTGTGAGCTGGCTCGCAACAATTGTCGCGCTTTGTTGGATAGGTGGGCTCTGTTCTCGATATTCTTCGTGGTGAGTACCATTCTCGCCATCAAGCGATGCAATCAGTAAAGGAGCAATGTTTTGATGTTCTTAGCGCTTTTACGCCGAGAAGAATACGCAGGGTGAACAGTTAGTTCTCTTCGTGGACAAGTGGGGAAACTTTTTGATTAGCTCGATCATCTACCATTGGTGTAGACGGATCGGTAGATCCACTCGGAAGATACGACATTAACCTACCCACAGAAAGTGTGTCGTTTTTTGTCAGCTTGGCATTCCTGTTGAGATCGTGTCTGACCGTAGCACCCTTTTAACGTCGAAATTTTGGCATGCAGTGCTTGAACTATAGGGCACCAAATTGTCCATGCCAACAGCGGCACACTCGGAAACGGACGGCCAAATAGAGCGTGTGAATCGAGTCCTAAAGAACGTTACGCGACGTCGTTTAATGAGTGGAGTGAATATTTACCTCTTGAGAAGTTTGCGTTCAAAAACCCCACAAAAGTCATTCGCCGTTTTTATGTAAGCTATGGTGTTCATCCACTTCCACAATGGGCGAGTTTCTACCTTAAGTGGGGAATGAAACATTGCTATCGAATCACAGTCAAACCTCAATGCTGTCACAGAGCTAGAAATCTATTTGACTCAACGTGACCTCTAGACGACATGACAAATCATGAAGAATAGCACATCGATGACTTTAATGTAAAGAGACAAGCCGTCATGCGGTTTGTTCGAGACGCAATTGCGAAAGCTCAAAATCTGCATAAAGAACAAGCAGATAAGAGCGAAGGGAGGAACAAGAAGGTATATAAGGTCAATGACTTTGTACTACTTCAAAGAAGGTATGTAAGGACAATGATTTGTACTACTTAGCAGGGTAAATCTACTTGAATACGCAGTATCCAGCTTTGAAAGTAGTATATTTTTTCCAAGACTCATTGGACCGTTCAGATGTTATAATATATTGGTGATGCGTATAAATTAGCCATCTCTACACGAATGCGCGCTTACATCACGTCTACAACGACCTAAGCTGTATTCTCGGCAGAAATTTTATCCGAATCAGGTGCAAGATGAACCATCATGCTGATCGGTCCACTAACACAAGCATGCCGCGACTTCCATGTGTGTCAGGCGGAAGTCCGAATATGAAGTTCATACTCACAGACTTCTAGATGTCCGTTGGCACTGCCAGCGACTGAAGTGGGGCCTGAGTGGAAATCGATGATTCCACTCTCTGGCAAATCTCACAAGTCCTCACATACTTTCGCACCTACTTATACATGTGTGGCTAACAGTAATTCCAGGATAGACTGAGAAAAAAATTTTACGTCCAAGATGGCTACTCGAAGTCATGTCATAGCACTTATATATAAGACGATGACAAATACCTTCGGCATTTGGTACAACAACGCTTGCTGTATCAACCGTATTGTACAACAATCCGTCGTGTACTTCAAAACGGTGAATACG